AAAAAAAAAAATGCAGGAACTTGAATACACAAAGATCCACTGTGTTAATCTACAACTTTCATCCTTACTTGTCAAACAAAGACAAACTGTTCATTGTGTTTTCCTTGACACATATTTTATGAGTCTCCCGTTTATTATCTAACCTATAAGCCACCTGCTTTTCTATAGTCCTGTTGTTTCTTACTGCTTTATCACCACATATATGCCTTATCACTCTGCAGACACATCAAATCGAAACATCAGTGTTTTCGCTTACTCCTGTCCACTTTGAGTCAAAACAGTTGGTTATAATGAATGCCGTCTTATTGGTCTCACCTATATATCTGGTTAAATATTTATCAGCTCTATGAAAAGGCACTTTGCATGTTTTATCGACCTAAGAAGAAAAGAAGCGATTGGCCCGTGCACTGATCAGAATTTCAAATAAATCAGAGGAAATAACAAGTACTTTAGCACTGATCTGACCAAAACTCAGATCAGAAGGGGCACGCTCAGCAGTTTGTTTGGCAATGCAAATAGGGCAACACGCTGCAGAAACTGATGTCCAGCACAGGGTAAACTGCATTTCATTGTTTCCTGGCAACAAGCTGTTCTTATGCGAGAAAAGCAACTGTGCTGAGACGACGCTGCAGGCTGGGTTCCCCCCGCTGAGCTGCCACAAACTCACACTGTTTCACTAGCACGAGGGTTAAAGGATGGTTCCAGCATGATTTGAGTTTTTTGCTCATTTCTTCTAGATTTTCTATCCTTTTGATGCTACTGATTTTGAACCAGGCTAACAGCTAAAGGCTAACAGCTAGATTGTGAATGCAAAGTCACTTTTTATATAGAGTGAGAATTTTTTTGTTACACTTTAAGTGTAAAGAATGCTTTACAGTGGTGTTACATGCTAACATCAGAGTGGCAATGCTAAAATGTTTAACGTGTTCACCACAGTGGTTTAGTGTATTAGCATGCTAACATTTGCTAATTAGCATAATAAGACAGCAAAGCTGAGACTGTGAGAATGCTGCAGCTATCGCTAACTTAGAGGCCTCTGTCGCATAAACTTTGACCCGATGATGACACTAGACGATGTTACACCTGTCCAATCATTGTTGGACCAACTATACCTTGAGCCAGCAGCACCGTTTAGCTAGTATTATCCAAACTACAACTATCCAAACACATAGCTTGTGCTGTTAACCTAAGCTGTTTTACAGTTTTGATACCAACTGACCTTTAATTGGGATCCATTACAACTTTGTGAGCTAATATTTTAGTTCTACAAAAACTTTTTTTTTTTTGTTTGACCACTAGACAGTTGGCTCCTATATTCTTCAGTTGGGGTTAACTCTTAATTACACTTTGGAAAGTCAGCAAAAAAACACTGGAAATCATGCTGGAACTTGATAACAGAGTATTGGCTACAATAAGTGAGGGGTTCCTGATTTTACCAATCATCCAGAGTTTGACTACAGTGTATAGAGCTCATTTTCAATATCAGTAATGCAGTTTGCATCTGACGAGCCACCAGTGTAAAAACTTATGTTAAAAAGTTTGAGCAGTCATTTGAATTCAAGCCTTGTTCTCGTGTATATATATATATATATAAAAAAATCTTCTCCAGAAGCAGTATGCCGCTGAACATGCAGATATGCTGATTTAGTGTCCTAGTTAGTGAGCTGGCCTGAGTGCTATGGCTAAAGACGGCACGTGTATACAATATCAACAACCGAGGTAATGCGGTAATGCTCTTTAATTTCCGAGTTCTTGGCTTACTTGCCACGGCTGAGCAGACCTAAATAACTTATGATGAAGGTTAAATTTAGACTGAGAGGCTGACAGCGCAGCCTTCAGCACCAGCGGGGCTCCAGGGCCCGACCCTGTGTCCGTAAACGTCTATTTTTCTCCACCACACCGTCCACCCGTTTGAGTGCGTCAAGCCTTCCCTGCCTTCATGTATGTGGGGATGGTCCCTCGCTGAGTCAGGCCCTCAAAGCGTTTGTAGGTGTAGTTGAGGAACACCCAGTCCTTTGATTTGAAGTCTGGCTCCGTTGCGTTAGCTGTTTCAAAAAGACAAACAATAAAATCAATTTACCACTTGGGGGCACCACAGACTATGCAATGATAACCCCCCTCATATATTTTAACACATTACAATATAAAATATGACTTATTTAGACTGAGCCCCTCAGTCTGTATCTGAAACAAGCCATTTTAGCTCTTCTTCCTTTTAATCCAGCTGTGTTCTGACTGGTTGCCCTTTGCAAACATAAGGTCTGACCAGCAGGTGGGTGAAGCTGCTGACCATTTTAGAGATATTCACTCTGAATCACATACCTTCAAGCCTAAGCTTTTGGCTCATAAAAACTGTATAAAATATAAATAAAAACAGAATGCAATTATTTGCAAATATCAAAAAACCCACATTTTACTCACATTAGAACATATGAAACATGTAAAATGTTTAAACTGAGATGTTTTAGTGTTTCATGAAAAATATTAACGCATTTTAAATTTGATGGCAGCAACATTACTCAAAATATTTGGGACGGGGCAACTAACGTAAATGGCACTGAAAGGAAACAGTTGGAGGAACACTTTGCAAGTAATCAGAGTAAATTGGCAACAGTTCAGTAAAACGGTGAAGACTTTGAATATCTAATTTACAGTACATGATATTACCACAAGATTCAGAGAATCTGGAGAAATGTCTGTGTGCACGGGGCTAACAATCAACAGTGGATGCACATGGCCCTCAGGGAGCTCTGCATTAAAAACAGGCATGACTGTGTCATGGAAATCACTGCATGGGCTCAGGAACACTTCCATAAATCATCGTCTCTGAACACAGTTCACTATGCCATCCACAAATACAGGTTAAAGCTCTATCTCTCAAAGAAGAAGCTATAGGTGAGCAAGATCCTGGAACTTCTCCCTGAGCCAACGCACATTTAGAGTGCAAAGCTGTTCTGTGGTCAGCCCATTGAAATTTGAAATTGTTTAGAATGAACACCCAGTCCTTTGATCCATGTCCTTTTCCAAACACATGAATGCACTGAGAGGAATGGTTCTGTATTTCCAAACCAGCTCCTTCTACACTCTGAGATTTTCATCACCATCAGTGACAACTAACCATGACTAACCGTGCCCACTCTTCCAACTTCTCAGTAGTATGTCGATTGTAAAACACACGACAATAAAACTCTGGACCGTCTGTGTATCAACACAAACTC